CCCCCCAGTTAGACTCTTGTGAAAATGAACACCAACATTCAAGTAGCCAAAAGGTAGCAGAGGAACTTTTGCCTAGCAAAAGCCACAGGAGAGTTTGCCCTTGCTGTCCTAACCCCACTAGGAGCGGCCAAAGAAGATGTCTTTCCGTGCAAGTGGAGAGGCACACACCCGCGCCACCTGGAGCTGAGCAGGGCTGCCTCAGGTGGGCCACGCTGCACGCCGGCTTCTAACCTGGAACCACAGCAGCCAGCTGCCTGGAGCCCCTTGTACACCGAGCCCAGTGTCGTGTCCGCTGCCTGTCCTCATACTGCTTTCTTCACAAGTGAACTATGTACATGTTCTGCCAAAACCTGGAGGTTAAGGCTTGTGGCCAACTTGTTTTGTCAAGTGATGCCAAATACCAAAAAGCTCATTTGAATCAAATATGCTATGCTTGTTTCTAACCCAACACTAGAGTTTTATTTTTTCTATGGCATTAGACAAAACTAAGCATCTTGGTATATTTTTAAATAATATTAATGGGGGGGCAAAATGTTTTAATTTGTTGTTTTCACAACAGAGTTCCTTCGGAATGGTCAGCCCTGTCTTGAGTGAAATTACTTAGGAAAATTATATGCAAGGAGCAGGAAGGAGAAAGGACAAGGCAGTGAATACATGCATTCCAATGGTGGGGAAACTGAGGCAGGTGTGCAACATAGCTGACAGGAATTTATAGAATAAAACTATTCAAACTGCTAAGCAGCCTCCTGTACCACATAAATCCAGTAGTTCTAAGAAAATACAGATATGGTAGAAAAAGTAAGAAAATTTTCACCACAAAACCAATAGTTACTACTAACAGAGAAAGTTATACACAAAATAGATCTCTCAACATCGCAGTGAGCACGCTTCACCTTAGTCAACAGACTCGATGGCGGGGGCTGCGAGGCCAGGGGCGCCGATGCCGGGAGCAGGGCCCCCGCCCTCACCGGCCACCCCCGCCTGCAGCTGTGCGCCCAGGGCTCCTCGCGAGGAAGTGTGTGGCTCCTTGTGGGCATCCAGGGTGGCACAGGGCTGCGGCGTGGGTGCCAAGTCCCCATCTGCCACTTTGACAGAGACCTGCTCTTTCAGGACTTCCACCTTCTCGTTGAGCTCGTTTCTCTCTGTCTGAAGCGCCCTGCAAAGCTTCTCTAAGCGTTCCAGTTTTATCTGAAAGGCCTTATACTCTTTATCACGGACAGTTTTCTTTAAAAAAACAAAAGAACAAAGTCAGCTACCTCTGCGTGAAAGTCAGCGTGCCCTGTACACAGTGTACCCTGCTCAGCTGCTCAGGCACGGGTGTGCTGGCCAGGCAGCATCGCCACACCCCGGCAACACACAGCAAGTGCACTGCTGCTCCCGGGGCAAGATTAAATCCACTCTCATGTTACCCAAAGCCTGGCAAAAGCCACTTTCTAAAACGTTTTGCACTGTCAACTATTGGGAGAGTTCTGTCACCAGGACTAGCAGACAGAAAATCGACTGTTTAAGGCGGGAAATGCAGTTTGCAGGCGGTACAGGTCGCCTTACAAAAGCGGAAAAAGTGTCAGTTGCCTTTCCGGGAAGACTCGGAAAGAGGGACACTGCCTAAGCCCGCCCCGCCCCGGCCTGAAGGGGAGGCACGGCGTCCCAACACCCGGGCACCTGTTCTGCTCCACCTGCACCTACCGACTGCCATAAGCCTGCCCTGATGGACACCTGAACTTAACGAGTCCCCAGGGCTAGCAATGCGTGCTGCTCACAGGGAACCCTCTCACCTCTTCAGCCATTTGCAGAAGCGCTTTATTATTGTTTTCCCACTTGGTGCGCCATATTATTGTTTCTTTTTCCAGCTTTTTAATTTTCTTTGTCATCTGTGAATCAACAGAATTGCAAGTTTAAGCTCTAAATTCCATTTTTAATGTCTATTTCCAGTCCCACCGCAAAAAAACAATGTTTGGAAGCTGGGCATGGTGGCGCATGCCTGTGATCCCAGCCTCTGGGAGGCTGAGGCAGGAGGACTACTGAGTTCTAGGCCAGCCTGGGCTACACAGCGAGACCTTGTCTCAGAAACACACACATACACAATATGTGACTGTCACGACACCCCCATCACTGCATGCACCTTTCTAGCAGCTGCTGTTGTCTGTGGGCAGTGGGTTTAGCTCAGAAGCTCCTAGGGCGGAGCCCAAGTCAGCTTCCAGAGGCAGCAGTGCACCACGCTCTTCCACTTTGAGCTGAGGCAGGGGTGGAGCCTTCACATCTGGAGGCGGGGGCAGCAACAGGCGAGTCCTCCTCCTCCTCCACAAGCAGTGTGGAAAAGTGGGTTCCCTGCCCACAGTCCAAAACCTCAGCCTCTCGGCCATTTCTTCAGGCCCACGAAAGATGGGAATTTCCCACAACCTCTGCCACCGTCACGTAAGGCTGCAGTGACAAGCAAAGTTCCCCTAACGCTGCGTTTGCCCTCACAAGGCGCAAGGCCCTTTCACTTTAGATTTGCTAACGAGAAGTGGGTCCAAAACTTGGGAAATTCTCAGACCTCTGCTCAGAGAGCTCACATTCCTGAAACTGAAGCTGAGCCTGACGCTGCTTGTCAGCCACCGTACAACATCCCTGTCCAAACCGGCCCACACGCCCGCTCCGGGCCTGGTCCTGGCAGGGAAATCAGCCATAGGTGACTGCCACGTGGTTCAGCCAGGAGACCAGGTCAGGCTGTGGAAAGAGTGCTCTGTTGCCCTCTGTAGCCACTAACAGACCGGTCCTGAGCTCTGTCACCCCCGAGAGTGTCATGTGTGAGGACGGTGGGCCACAGGAACCTGCTGCCCGGGGCCACAGCAGAATCCCGGGTCTAAAAATGGTTCCAAGACAGGTGTGGTGGCGCACACCTGTAATCCCAGCACCTGGGAGGCTGAGGCAGGAGGATTGCCACAAGTTCAAGGCCAGCCTGGGCTACAAAGTGAGTTCAAGGCCAGCCTGAATTATTTTAGAGAGACCCTGTCTCAAAAAAACAAACACACAAAATAAAGATGACAGATGGAAACCTGAGTTCAGGCCAGCTCATGGGATCCAGCAAGTTCACGTGTGTTTCGGAAAGGATAGGTCTGTCTGTGAGTGTTTTCAGAAGTGAAGGAACGGAAAGGCAAAGACAGGTTGAATGACTTGTCCACCATCACTGTGATGCAACGGGGCCATTCACCCCGAGGGCACCTACCGCTATGCAGGGCTAAGTCACGGCTGCCGTCTACTGAGTGCATGTAAGTGCCAGGCGGCACGATACTTCTCAGAACCACTATTTTGACTTTCTTATTTAATCCATATACATTTAATGTATGTATTAATACGACTGGAGTTGTATCTGCTGTCTGAATACCATTTTTTTAAAAGCCTTCATTTTAGCTGGCTGTGATAGCATGTAACTGCTGTAGCTCCAGGTACCTAGTAGGCTGAGGCAGGAGGAGGTCAAGGCCAGTATGGGCAACACAATGAGATACCATCCTCATAAGAAAAATAAAAAACAAAACCCTCCAACTTAAAGGGAAGTCACCAAGTAAAATGAGAATGGCTGGCAGGAGGGGCACCCCGAGTTCAAGGCCAGCCTGGGTACACAGTAAGTCCAAAGCCAACCTGAACTACACAGCAAGGCCTTGTCTCCAAAAAGAGAATGGATACATATGTGTGGATACAACAATGTATTTTGGCTGTCAGAGGCTAAGGCAAGCAGATGGCAAGTTGAAGCCCAGCATGGGCAATTTAGTACCGTCTCGAAGGGAGGGGGATATAGTTCAAAGGCTATGGGTTTCGATGAGGTGTTATCAAAAAATAGTGAATGTTGTAGATTTTTAAAAATTTATTATGTGTTAAGACTCACTGCCATTAATCCCCCTTAAAATACTTTGTGAAGCAGTTCCAGAGTAATTCTTTCGTGTCTTTATTTCTGTCATGGCTGCCTCCATGTCCTGAAGGGATTCATATTTGCCTTTCACAGTCATTTTGACTTGGGGGAACGGTCAGAAGTCACACGGTGCAATCTGGTGAATAAGGTGGATGGGGACACCCATGATGTTTCTACAGCCTGCCTTTCCAAGTCGGATGGTGCTCAGTACCAGCACTCAGTGGATTTCTGCACACACCTCATAAAGACCCTCAAGATGACTCCAGAGCTGCTACAGAAGGTGGCATGTGTGGGACCACTATGCTCAGAGGTGGGGCCGGCACAGCACTCGGAGGGGGTTAACTGCAGTGTCTTTTACTGTAGTAACTTTCTGCTCTTTAGCTTGGTATCAAGGATATCTTTTTGCTTAATGCAGGCAGGAAAATGCAACAAAAGCAAAAGGAACGCTTTGGCTAGGGAAGAAAAGGAATGGAGGATTCAGTGGGTGGAAAAGTAAGAGAAAACGAAAAGTTTAAGAAAGGGTGCAAACAGCAAAATGTAGAGTCTCTAAGCACGGATGTCTTTAATCTCCAAGGACAGAGATTTTTTTGTAAGACTGAAGCGTGATCTTCCCAAGCAATTAAAACAACGAGCAAAAAACCACCTTGTGCTGGGAGATACAGCTCAGTAGCACAGCACCTGCCCGGCAAGCACGAGGTTGTGAGTTCACTTCCCAGTACCAAAAAGAAAAAAACCCCACCTTGTTCCTAACGACAAACTGTATTTAATCAAGGCATTCACTGTTGTAACTTTAGAATTCTGTAAACACAGCAATCTATTAGCTACTCGGGATACATCGAGGTCAAGATGACCAAATATTCCACTGGAGAGTCAGAAAAGATAAAATGAAGATGGCGTTACAGCATTAAGCTCATCCAAGTATTAAGCACGCTTGGAAGAGCATATCTCAAGTCCTTTTTATGTACCAGTCTATGGAAAGCATACGAATACCTTTTCCATTTCCTGCCTGAACGTTGTAAACAATTCATTGCTTTTTGCCATAGTAGTCTGGAATTCTTCAAACTTATCCATATAAAGAGAAAGCTAGAGAAAAAAAAAAAAATGAAAGAGACTGAGTTCCTGGTATACAAATTCATATTCTGAAATTTTCAAAATCTAATATGGTTAGTCATGAGTTACTGCTACATGACAGAAAGAACAATTGCACATGGGAGTCACTGGACTGCACACAGGCAGCATGAATCCTTGGGGCGTTCTGCTGGCGCTGTCCTGTCGGGTGTCACGTGCAGACCCGTTTGCTCCGCCCTGGCTCCCGATGAGCCCTGCAGCAGTCCCCCGGCCCGCTTGCACCACAAGCACACCTGTTCTTGGCGGGGGACATGGGGTCTCAGCCAGCACCTGCTCCCTGCATGTGGGCAGGGAGGTGGCTAGAGAGAGGCTTCAGCCAGGACAGGTGAGAGAAAAGCCAAGGCAGCAACCCCCATCTCTCTCTGAACTTCTACCTTTGAAGGTTGCCTGAGAAACCCCAGCAAGGCTAGCAGAGTGCAGAGCAGCCCCAGTTCTCCTCTGCCACCCCCTCACCCCCCGCCGCCGTCACCGCAGCAGTGCAAGCAGAAGGCAGGCCGAGGGCCGAGGCAGACCGCCCCTTGCGGGGAGGCCTGGCGCAGCCTCGCAGGGCTGAGGAGCTCAGCGGAGACTGCCTCTAGAGCCACACTGTTGTGATGGGGAAGCATGGAATACTGGGGAATCCTGGGGAGGAAGGAAGAGCATCAGGGGTGGGGAGGGCGGTGGTGGGGGTGACCCACACTGACAAGGCCTCAGAGGCTGGGGCAGGGGTCAGAGGGGAGCCCTTCTGGCACTGGGGACAAAAGCTGCCGCAGACCGACGCCCCGGGAAAGGTGGTCACTAATGACAACTGCTCTCGCAGGGTTACTCTGGCCCAGGCCTAACCACCGTGAGACCAGGAGACGGTCAGCGGGTGCTTCGAGGTGACAGGGCAGGACGGCCACGTGCAGCAGCAGGAAAATGAGTCCTCCGCCCTGACTGGCCTCCTCGCACAGGGACGGCCAAATGCACAGGGCTGGGGAAAAGGGGCTCGATTCCTGCTGCGTCACGGCCCTGCAGAACGCATGGAGCAGCCCCCAGGACAGCTGCTGCCCTGCCTCACCAGCTCCTCCCGGGTCCATCAGGGTGGGCTGGGCAGGCCAGGCCAGCGCAGGGCCCGCTGCTGGACATTCCGGAGGCTGCGATCACGGGGGCTTGCGCTAGCCCTCATGGATCAGTGCATTTCCCAACTGGTGTCCTTAAACTTCCAAACCAAGGCACCCTTATCCAACAGCATAATCTAGCTAGCTGAAAAGGGCTGAGTACAGGTACACATGCCTCACTGTGCCTGTCTGGAAAGACAGACGTCCTTATACCCTGGTTAAGGAGACAGCCTCAGAGACCGTGACAGAGGGCCCCTCAGGGTCTGCACTGCAGAGGGGTGGCCCAAGCAGTGTGCCACGCCAAACTGCATGCCAGGCAGGCCACGTGGTTCTGCAGCACTTTTGTGCTCAGAGCACAAAATCTAGTCACTATGTTGGACTGTATGAAACGACCATTTTATAGGTCAAAGAAGTATCTTGACTTCAGCCATTTCCTAACTCCACTTGATACCAAAAAAGTAGTATCTGAAAATTCATTCATTTTCCCTAAGTGGAAAATTAAGTGACAGGTGGGAACAAACTGATCAATGGAGGAAGCATCTAGTATCGTAGAAAGGGGACGCTGGAGTTACTGTGACCACCTGTCCCAGTCTGCCTGAGGTAGGGAGGCAGGAGCTTCTGGGACACAGGACTTTCAGCACTGAAACCAGGCAAGTCCTCAGCAAACGGGAAAAAGCTGGTCACATGAAAGGAAGAGAACGGGCGCAATTCCTGCTGCGTCACGGCCCTACAGAACCCTCCACGAGGGACAGTGAGCTTCTTCCTCACTTTGACCACCTCTGGCTGGGATACGGTGAGACCCCCTTACAGTGACAGGACTGACAGGACAGACACTCAAGGTAAGTGGCACACAAGCCGTACAATTTTCCTTACACTTCTGTCCCTGCTGTCCAGTTACCTGCTGTTTAAGCTGTACTTCTTGCTGTTTCATTTGTTCGTATTTGTGCCTTGATTCTGTTGCTTCTTTTAGTAACTGGAAAACAGAAACATTCTGGCAAAACATTCACAGTAAATGACCGCACTTTCAGGCTGCACCCTTCTGCTCAGTTTGAGTAAGAGCTCCAGCAAGATGGCCATTTCCCGCCATCTCCCGTCAGTCCCACCTGCTAACGCTCAGGGATCGTGGAGCAGTCTTTTACTGCTCAAGTGGAAAGGAGACCCAAGACCTCAGAAGATTTACAAAGCTCAGGGTTAAATCGTAGTGTTTTAAGTGAAAACACCTACATCGCAAGTATTAGCAAAAAACATACCTAGGAACCTTGACATTGCTTACACGACGGACAAAGCCCCTCTACTCCCTGAGAGGAAGATGAGACCAGGTCAAAGGGTGTGGAGCACAGTAATGAAATCCAGGACCAGTTTTCTATGTATTTTTGTTTGTAAACAGGAGGGAAGGATAGGAGATTTCTTTTTTGGTACCAGGAACAGAACTCATGACCTTGCGCTTGCCAGGCAGGTGCTATGCAGCTGCGCTATATCCCTGGCCCCTGGAGATTTCATTTATATATCTGAGTGTTCAAGAAATTTATGGTAAAGTTGTACAGCAGACAGTTGTGAAATTCAGTGCTTAAAGTAAAATGTCATTTACAGTCCAAAGAAGCCTTAAGTCCTACTGAACCAACCAGAAAGTACATGCCCATAATTGTGTGTGTGTGTGTGTGTAAAATGTACACTCTAACTTTGGAAATGATAACCACGCATCAGCAGGACCTGCAGGAGGACAGAGCAGGAACGAGTGTACGCAAAGCGTCTCCTGACACTCCGCACAGCACGCCAGCAGCTGGAGGGCCGCTGTGGATGTTCTAACCGTTTCTCCCAGTGCCGACGTTCTGTACAAGCACAGAGAGCCGAGTCTGCAGTGGTCAAAGTCCATCCCCAAAGAGCTGCCACCATCTGCAAGTACTGACGGGCAACACAATCTGAACATGCGTGCCAAGAGCAATGCTGAGGGGCCAGGGCAGAGAGAATTCGGTGAATGTGTTACTAAACTTACACCAAAGTAAGCGAAGGATTTCCCTCGTTTGACGATGTTTGTTTGAAAAAAAATCTGAGGTAGACATAGGAAACCTGTATTTGGTAAGTCTGATGTTCACTTGAATTGCCAAATTTTTCTTAAACCTGCTCAGCAGTGAAATAAACACTCTAAGTACAGAAAAACCAGACAAGAGCAGGTCTTTTAGATGACATAGTCCAACCCCACCAGTATACTTTCTGTATTAAAAGTTAAACAGAGTGCTCCCTTCAGCAGCACATGTACAACTGGAACCCTACAGAGAAGATCAGCACGGCCCCTGTGCAAGGATGACATGCAAATTCGTGAAGAGTTCCATATTTTTAAAATAGAAAGTCAGCAACCACAAAAAAGAAAAGTTAAACAGAAATAAACAGGCAAACGCTTTCTGTAGCAAAAAGCTAACTAGCGTGCCCCAGGTGCAACATTAAGTGCAAAGTAAGTATAAATGTTTTAAATGGCTTTGTTTAAAATCTGGCAATGATTTCTTGTTTTGTTTGGAAAAAACCAAACTTACAAACTCTCGCTCTCTCTGGTGCTTCTCGTCGGCTTCCTTTATCAGCTGTGTCGTCTGCTGGAGTTTGGCGTCCACAAGCTGTTGCTGCAGTTCCTTATGCTTGAACACCTTGTCAATGTGCTGCAGGAAGAGCGGGAGCCGCCGTCCCCTCAGAAAGAAGGCGAGGACAGCCGGCACAGGGGCGCCCCGCTGCCCCGCAGACGAGGCCCGCCCACAGCGGGGCCCACAGTCCCAGACCCGGTTCTGTACCCTGAAAGTAAGGCTCCAAATGCATCAGGACAAAGATGGGCAAGTGGAGCACACGAGCAAGTGCAGGTACCCCACCCTTAATCCCTTCTGTCTGGCCACAGTTTCCCCACGACACAAGCCGGAAACGCGCTCTGCCCGCAGCCCTCTCCGTCACATTCCCACATTCCGGCTGCTCGGGGTGTCAGAGCCTGCGCCTGGCACCTGGGCGGCAGGAGGACAACACCCACTTGCACGAGCTGGGACAGTGCTGCAATGGCAGAAGCACGCAAGAGGCTTGGTGCCAGACGCACATCGGCCATGGTCTGGTCACGTGGCTAGGGACAAACTCTAAAGCTGCGGCCTCAGAGCCATGCGGCTGCAAAAACAGGCCTTGTCCAGCTGCAGTAGGCTGTGTGAGCCAGGCAAGGCGCACCGCCCGAAGGGAGCAGCAAATGGTGTGACCACTATTCACCATCCCCGACCAAAGAACGGCCACTCGTCATGTCCAAAGTAAGTAAAAGCAGAAATATGACTTCAGCTTGAGTTTCAAGTTAGCTACATCGATGGTGAGGTATACCGTCATTTACTATACAACAAAACTGTAAATGTCATTTCAGAAAATTAGGGCTTTATTAATCTAATAAAAGGAAAATAACTTCCCAGGCCCCCCAAAAAGCGCTTCAATAAACACACTACATGAATTAAAAAGAGGAGAAAACACTATAGGAACATGAGACACATAAATCAGTGAAATAGATGGACACTTTTTGGATCTTAAGCCAAATTTTTTTTTAAAGAGGAGACACACAAAAACACAAACACTGACTAGGCAATCGTCATTAATTTGTTAGGTATAAAAATGTTATTGGGGTTATGCTAGTCACTCAAATGTCTATGAGTGAAATAATACGACACCCTAGATTTGCTTCAAAACAATCCAGGCCAATAGAGATGAAGCTGATTCCAATATTCACACCATCAAGACAGGTGATATACCGTCTGTTTTCTTAAGCTTGCAGTTTTCCATAATGATTAAATTCTTTTAAAAAGCAGCAGCTGGACATGGTGGCGCACGCCTGTAATCCCAGCACTCGGGAGCAGAGGCAGGAGGATCGCTGCCAAGCTCAAGGCCAGCCTGGGCTACAAAGTGAGTTCAAGGCCAGTCTAAACTACATAGTGAGGGCCGGGAATATAGCTCAGCAGCACAGTGCCTGCCTGGCAAGCACAAGGATGTGAGTTTGATTCCTGGTACCAAAAATAACATAACATAACGTAACATAAACTACATAGTGAGACCCTGTCTCAAAACACCAAAAGAGAGGGCCAGGTGTGGTGGTGCACACCTGTAATTCCAGCACTTGGGAGGCTGAGGCAGGAGGATCGTTGTGAGTTCGAGACCAGCCTGGCCTACAAAGTGAGCTCAAGGCCAGCCTGAACTGCATAGTGACACCCTGTCTAAAAGAGACAAAAGAAAAACAAAACCAAAAGAAAAGCCAGGTGTGATGGTGCACACCTGCAATCCCAGCACTTGGGAGGCTGAGGCAGGAGGATGGTTGAGAGTTCAAGACCAGCCTGGGCTACGAAGTGAGCTCAAAGCCAGCCTGAACTGCATAGTGAGACCCTGTCCCAAAAAGACGAAACAAAACAAAACAAAACAAAAAGACAGTGGGTAGAGAGAAAGAAAAAAAAAAAAAATATGCTGGACATGGTGGCACACACCATTAATCCCAAGCATTCTGGAACGCAGGAGTACAAGTTCAAGCCTAGCTTTAGCAATTTAGCATCTGAGACTGTATCTCAAAATAATAAAGGGCTGGGGATATAGCTCAGTGTAAAGGCCCCAGGTTCAATCCTTAGTAGCATTTAAAAAAAAAAGTGAGAGTGACCACAAGAAAATCTTCAAAGTTTTTGCAAGTCTGTAATACTGTAAATTAATATAAAGCTGAAAACTTAGTAAAGTAGAAAGGAGATGCCACAGACTTAGCTATCTTAATATACCCAGGTAAGGCCTCAAGCCATATGAAAGCACAGTATGTTATTAAAGTCAGAGGCGGTGGTGTTCAACAGGACTCCACCTGTCATCTCCCTGGCGCAGCTGGCCAGCACGGAGGAGTCTTCACCAGAAGCGAGAATCCTGACTCCTTCCACTAACCTGTGCTGCAGTGTGTGGCAGGGGCTAAAAGTAGTTTCTTTTTTCTCTTAAATAGTATAAAACCCTCATTAAAAATAAAATCATGGGGGAGCTGGGGATTTAGCTCAGCGGCACAGCACCTGCCTGACAAGCGGCGCAAGGTCGTGAGTTCGATTCCCGGTACCGGAAAACAAAACAAAACAAAACAAATCATGGGGCTGGGGTTTAGCTCAGTGGGTGAGCACATGTTTAACATGCACACAACCCTGGGTCTGACCCCAGCATCAAAAATAAGTAAAAGTGAAATAAAAAAACAGGAAAAAAAAAACCAGGGTTAGGGTATAACTCAACAGAGCACGTGCCCAGCACACAGGAGGCCCTGCATCTGATCCCCACACTGTAAATACATACATACTTTTTTGTTTTTAAATCTGGAACTGGGGGCCAGGGATATAGCTCAGCAGCACAGCATCTGCCTGGCAAGTACGAGGTCCGAGTTCAATTCCCGGTACAAAAAAAAAAATCTAGAGCTGGGTACAGCAGCAGCGGTGTACAACTACAGTCTCTGCTACTTAGAAAGCTGAGGCAGGAGGATCAGTTGAGCCAGAAATTTGTGACCAACCTGGGCAACATAACAAGATCTCCTCTCAAAAGATGAAACAGAACAAAACATGGCTGGAAGGCTGGGAATTTAGCTCAGCAGCACAGTGCCTGCCTGGCAAGCGCAAGGTCATGAGTTCAATTCCCCCCAGTATGGGGGGTGTGTGTGTGGGAAACATGGCTGGAATGCAATGGGAGTGGCTACTGGCCAGGGCATTTTGGGGCCACTTACTCCTTGTGAGTCTGGATAAGGAAAAGGCTCCCTATGCGAAAGCCACTACCGAGCATCGAGGATTGTGACACTTGCCGCATCTCTGGGGACTCACCAGGAACCTTCCCTCCCGAGGACCACCCCTCTCGCCAGGCACATCTGGAAGCTCGGAGCCACGCGGTGGGCCGGCCCGGGAGGTGCCCTACCTCTTCCCTCAGCGCGTACTGCTCGATGAGCTTCTTCAGCTTTTCCCCCAGCTCCATGTTCTCCTGGCGGAGCTTGGCATTGTGGATGTCATGCTGCTCCAGCTGGGCCTGGATCTCGTTTAAAGTCATTTGGAAATGTGCCGTTGCCTCCTTACGCCGTTCTTCCTCCTCCCGGGCCTGCTGCATATTTTCCTCCTTGGTGTCCAAAATAATGTCTGTTAATAGTGCGGACCTACAGATAAGAGGCGCACGGAAGCAGCCGCTGCGATGTGGGCTCCTAACTGCTACCGGAAACGCTGCTTCTGAGCCCCAGGTTCCTCCCCAAAGGCTCTCACTTAAAACCAAGCTGCTCCCCCAAGGAGACATAGTAATGCCACACAACCCGTCCTGTTCCACTCTGAGCACCTATGGCCACCGCGCTGCGCTGCGGGTCTGAGGCTTCTCCCCACAGCCCGCTCCCACGTGCTGTCACCTCGGCTCAACCCGGAGACAGAGCCCCTCCCGCGGCTTCCATTCTGGGTCACCCCTTCCCCTCCCCAGGGGGCACAGGACAAGTGGAATTCTTACTGTAAAAACTACAAGTGTCAAAAGACCTGTACACATCTAAATACATCAGTCTGCTCAAAATGACCTGTCATGGGACAGTCCCACCCACTTTACATAACCCAAAGAATTTCAAGGATGACGAGATGAGGACAGCCCCGCTGAGGCAAAGATCGCTCAGGCGGACATGGTCTCAGGAGGGCTCCCCTCAGGGCTGGGGCTGTGCTGGGGAAGGGGTGCTGGGTAGAGGTCCTGCCGGTTGGAAGAGGCAGACCCCTGGGCTCAGCTCTGCGCTCTCCTGCCCTGTGCATGCCGGTCCATCTCTAGACATCCCTGGTTCTCCCTTCGCAGTCACCGGCCAAGGTGTGAGCGCTGCTGTGAAGGCGCTCAGCAGCCGGCAGCTGCGGCCGGGCGGGGCCGAGCCCCCAGGAGCTCCGCAGCAGCTCCTGTCAGAGCCCGGACTCGGGTCTCTCACTGGCCTCTCATTTCCCAGCAGCTCCCATCCACGGGCGTCACCTGCATCAGCGCTCAGCAGGAAAGCGACCACTCTGAGCTGCCTAACCCATGGCTTTCAGCAAGAGAGCTGTGGTGTGCACAGTAGTCCCAGGCCGGCTCCCTGCGAGTGATCAGGAGGTAACTAACCCTTCCCAGGAAACAAAATGCATGGCCTCGCACAGTGTCAGCCCAAGCCCGGCAGAGGGAAGGTGGTGTCCTGCTCTCTATGCAATGACATATATTCCCTTCAAAGGGGCCCAGGGTGATCAGAAAGGCAGCTGAGTACCTCCTGAAACCCAGAGAAATGAGTCAACTAACCTTTAAGGTCTTATTGTGACGCTGAAGCTCCCTGCAAAGAGACTCCAGTTTGCTTCTTGCCAAAATAGCTTTGCTGTGTTCGCTCTGTAAGTGAACTTTCTCTTTCACGATCTGGGCTTGCTTCTTCTGCAGAATCTTCATTTGCTTCTGAACATTCCTGCTCTCCTCCAGCTGCAATCAACAAGCACTTTACATTTAGAAAGGACAGCAGCAGCTCAGTTGCTGCTGGGTGGTAAAGCCGCCCGCTCTTCACGAAGCCGAACATCGGGGGCTGGGGAAAAGCTCAGAGGGGCAGCACTTGCTGAGCCGCGCGGCCCCAGGTCCACCCCAGCAGCAAACCCCAAGCCAGATGGGGCAGTGTAGCATTTTAGTTAAATTGCTTCTGGCCATGTAACACTGCCAACCTCTTTTCTAGCTGCAACAGGGAAGTAAGCAAATCCAGGACAGGTGGAAATGATCGTGAATCCTTTTCTTTTTTTGCCCTTTAATACATTTAATTTTTACAACCTTTTATTACCCACACTTAACTTTATTATCAAAGTTTTTAAACAGAAGACATCTACAGCCCAGACTTTACTAAATTGCCCAGGATTCCATAATTAGGACAGAGTGTCATGGGGATGTGACCCTCACAACTGCATCACTGCTCCCTTGGTGTCCCCACTGAGCTGGCCAGGGTCCTTCATTCTGTCACCTTGCCCGACTCCGGATACTGATCAGAAATGGTCATGAGAATCTAGAACTCAGTAAGCAGCACTCTGAGTTCTTTGTGAGGAAAAAGGCTACGATTTGAGGTTTGAAGCAAATGAGTCTATTTCACGGTTTAATCCACACGAGCAGATAAGATGGCAGCCTCACTGATCTCTGTACAGCTCTTTCTCGCTGGAGAAGAAAATGCTGCTGAGTCACGACTTCAAAAGCAAGAGCGCCATCGTGTGGCCCGTCAAGCACACCAAGCGTCCTTCCGGCAACGTGCTCGCGGGTACTGAGGAAACACCCTAGCTCCTTCCACTGAGGCGGCCCATCGCTTGACTGCCGCCTGGGGGCAGCACTGCAGGGTCAGGCGCTGCCCGTCCCTAGCCCCGCCCCCATCCCGGGGTCATGACCCCAGAATCCTGCGCTCAGCATTCCTGGCTTCCCTTTGTGCGCAAGTCATCTAAAGAAAAGCAAATGAACCGTTTTGCCTTTAGTTATTTTGACTTTATTGGGACTGACGCAACTGAGGAATTTATTTTCTCTTGTTTCCTATTACTTAAACTTAAGTGGCTACCTGACTGTCTTCACACAACTCAGTTTCTTGGGCTCAGTGGCCTCTTTGGCCTATAGCTACAAACCAGGGGTTAGAAGATTTTTCTGTAAAGGGCCAGCAAGTCAGTATTTTAGGCAGTGCAGGGCCACATATGGTCTCCGTCATGTACTGTTTAAATATAAAACCATTCTTAGCTTGTTGGCACACACAAAACCAGGCTGTAACCGACTTGGCCTGCACACCACACACAAGCCCGCCTCAGGCCCTTCTTGCGCAGTGGGCATCTGGCCATGCTCAGGCTTTGTCAGGACACACAATGGCACCAACACTCTCCTGTGTTTCCTAGGACACGGTTTGGGCAATGAGTTCTAAATGTTCAGTTTCACGGGACATTACCAGCTCTCCAAAGTGGCCGGCACATTTTGTTCCACACTAGTGCGTGAGAGACTGTCCAGACCCACACCCTCTCCAAAGCACAGTACGTTTCCACGTCTTCGTTCCTGCCACGACGACAGACAAAAACTGGCTTCTCACCACCACCTCGATCAGCATTTCCGAGCTCGCTCTGGGAGATCAAACATCTCTCTGTGTATTGAGGGGCCTTAAGTGATCACTGTGTCCTCTTCTACTTCCATCAAACCCTGTCAGTGTCTTCCACCCACCTTTCCCCTGGGTGATTGTCCTTTTCCTGCTTACCTGTAGGTGTTCTTTTAAAGTATTCTTCATACAAAATCTTCACTGTATTTGTTAAAAGGAAATATGTTCCCCTCAGTTCATAATCTCTTCGCTTTCACATTTTTGTTTTTGTTTTTTGAGATGGAGTCTCACTATGTAATCTAGGCCAGCCATGAACTTGCTACAGCCCAGGCTGCTCTTGAACTTGGGATCCTGTGGCTTCAGCTTCCTGAGTGTTTGGACTACAGATGAGAGCTACCAGGTCTGGTGGCATTTTCTTTTCTGATGGTAGTAGGGACTGATCTGAGGGCCTTCTGAGCTACCTTCTTAGTCCTTCTTCGAATTTTTTAAAAATTTGAGACAGGGTCTCATTAAGTCCCCAGACTAGGCTGGAACTTGAGATCCTCCTACCTCAGCCTCCTAGAGTGCTGGGATTTTAAGTGTATGCCACCATGCCTGGCTGCAAATTTCATTTTTTCCATAAGAATAACACCTTTGTAACATGAGGATGGTAACTCTCCCCTAAATGCATCCAGATTCCATGAAAGCCTTCAAAATCCCAAACAGAGGATCACCAACGAATTTAAGACCAACCTCAGTAAGATGTTTTATTAAAAAAAAAACACAAAAAAAATCAAAATGTGTTTCCCAGCTCCTACCTAACTACTAAATTGAACTTAAAATTTATAGAATAAATGGGTCAATATACTCAATATATTTCTGACTAAAAAATGGGGGGATCTAGCTACCAAACCTTATTACACAATAATAACCTACACAAATATAGGAAAAGGAAAAGAATAAGACTGTAACTGCTTCAGGACCACGGTGCAAAATCATGAGTGACACCTGCCGTGTGGGGAGTGTGGGGGCCACATGGTCTCCCGTGCTCCACGCAGATCTCCGCCCCACCTGCTCCACACAGCACTTCTACGTGGCAGCATGACAAGCAGTGACAATGCCAGAGGGCACCATGGCAAAAGCACAGGCCGGGGTGAGAAATGAAGTTTTCCAAATGCTTCTTGTGGAACAGCTACTCCCCGGTGGCTTCACCACTATGCGACCTGGATGCCGCACCTCTCAGTGAAATGATTGTTGTTTCAATAAGTAAAGCTTTATTGCTTTTTCTGAAGACATTATACATTCCATCTTTCATATGTCTAGCACAAATTCACAGCAAAGAGAGATTCCTCACCAGGCAAGTCTGCAGTGCACCATGTGTGAAAATTAATACAGAGGACCATACCCAGCCAAACGACCAAAACCACGAAGGGCAGCACTACTTCAAGGGGGACCCGAAGCCCAGCGGCACCTGATGTTACCCAGGAGCTCGGGAAGATGCAGATTCTCAGGCTGGGCCAGATCTCATGGGCCCGCAAGCCGTGCGGGCATTGGGAGCGCCGGCAACTGCTCATGCACTCTTCCGCTCTGTGCCCGCTGTCTGCTGCTCTGGTAACGCTGGCGCAGGCGGCTCCACCTACACCACCTTTTCTGTGGCCTAGTCTTCTGCACGGGGCATGTTTGCTCATGTGTGTATGCGTCCTTTTCTGCACTTCTTGTGCAATTCGCACGTGGCAGGTGGCAGCAGAGGCCAGCTTCCAAGGCTGGTGGAACTGTGCCTTCCCTGGGCCAGGAGTCCACGAGGCACTTCCACCACCTCTGCAGCCGAGACGCTTGTGGCCAGCCTGCCAAAGCACAGGGCTCCCCACAGGCACACAGCAAAAGGCACTGCACTGCTGACCGCCAGCCACAAGGGCGACCTGCACCATTTCGTGAGCTGAGGGCAAGTCACACTGCCGCTCTTTGGGAAATAAGCAAAACTGACTGCCCTGAGCTGCTCGCTGACAAAAAGGATGGTTTGTGATATGGAATAACTTTTCTAATAACAGCTGAAATTACATAAAACTGCAAATGGTAATTCACCAAAGCCTGTCACAAGGAGCAATAATATTAGCATCTACAGTTGAACTGTTTATTGTGGAAGTTCCCCTCTTCAAAGCGGTCTTTCCCATTCTTCCATCTGAACAAGGTGGCAGGTTTCCATGTGGACACTGCTGTCACCATCCCAAGAAGACAATCAATACTACTTGAAATAACACAGGCCCACAACCAAGTTTTGGATGGCATCGATTTCTTTGGAAGATGGAAAAAAGAATGCTGGCACTCAATAGATGCTAAATAAGTACTCCCTGAGAACAGTATTGTTTTAGTGTGTTTTTCATCTAACTCACAATTTTTTTCATTCTTTTAGTGTTTTTCATCTAACTCACAATTCCAATCAAAATGGTTAGAACCTTTGTCTCTAAAATTCCCTTAGGAAAAATGAACTACAGAAATCACTATACTTCAACTAAGTGGCCTCTAAAGGATCACAACACAGCAATGGAAAGGCTGATCTAGAAAGTACTATACAACACAGTTCCAGAAAATCTATGCCAGATGCCACAGTGGCACGCATATGGAGTCCCAGCTACCTGGGAGGCTGAGCAGCAGGATCATTTGGAGTTCAGGGCCAGCCTGGGCAACACAGCAACACCTCACTTCAAAAAAGACAAAAATCTGTATAGCTCAGGACTATAACGTACTGCATATATTACCCAGTAAATTACACAATCAAGAAAAAGCCCCAAGAGCCAGGTATGGTACCATACACCTGTGATCCCAGGACTCTGCGAGGCTAAGGCAGGAGGATTGCAAGTTCCAGTAGGGTCTTGGCAATTTGCTAAGACCCTCTCTCAAAAAAAAAAAAAAAAAAGAACAAAAAAAACTTTTTAAGGGCTAGGAAGCCAGTGTGGCAGTGTATACCTGTGATCCCAGTACTCAGAAGGCTGAGGCAGCCGGGCATGGTGGCGCACGCCAGTAACCACAGCACTCAGGAGGCTGAGGAAGGAGGATCGTTGTGAGTTCAAGACCAGCCTGGAGGGGCTGGGGATTTAGCTCAGCGGCAAAGCGCCTGCCTGGCAAGCGCAAGGTCGTGAGTTCGGTTCCCGGTACCGGAGAAAAACCAAAAAAAAAAACAAACAAAAAAAAAAAAAAAAGACCAGCCTGGGCTACAAAGTGAGCTCAAGGCCAGGCTGAACTGCATAGGGAGACCCTGTCTCAAAAAGACCAAAAAAAAAAAAAGAAGGCTGATGCAGGAGGATGATCTTGAGTTTGAGGGCAGCCTGGGCAACATAGTGAGTTCAATATCAACCTACACTACACAGTCAGATCCTGTCTCAAACAAAACAAAACACAAAATAGAGCCAGGCATGGTGGTACACATCTGTAATCCCAATACTTAGGAGGCTGAGGCAGGAGGACCACTGCTCAAGGCCAGCCTGGACTACATAGTGAGTTTGAGGCCATCCTGGGCTACATAGCAAGACTCTGTTTCCAAAAACCAAAATAAATATTGTCTGCTTCAATTTTGGAATAAAATATAATTTGACATTTAAAGCTACATCACAATCATATTTTTAAAAGCTTATTCACAACAACAACAAAAATCAAGGAGAAGCCCACCCAGCACACACGCATTTTGCCCTTGATTAATACTCACGAGGTCAGCATACTTCTTACAGAGAGCTGCCAGCTTCTCTTCTGGGGTTGAAAGGGTGTTTAGGGCTTGCATCAGTAATAAAACTTCTTTTCCTAATGATTAACAAGATAAGAAACGTAAGTCCTACCTTAGGACAAGAGAGAATCCCATCTGAACTGTGACCCCTCCACATACCCCCTTTTCTGCTGTGAAGAGAATTGCACCTCTGACTGAAAATGAGCTATTGATCCTCTCAGGTACCAAAACTACGTAGGGCTAGGGGAGAGAGCACTCGCCTACAGTGCATGGTGCCCTGGCTTCAAACCCCAGCACCTCAAAGGAAGGAAAAATTTTCAATTCTGGATCAGCGGGCCCCCTCCACTCCCATCCCACCCCAAACTTCACCACTCACTCACTACTTACACTGCAAACTATTCCTAAGTGCTGGAAGCGGCACATTTCCCTTGCCTAACCACTGATGTCCAAGCAAAGACAAAGGGCAAGTTACAAAGGGCAGGGACAGTATTTCTCAAAGCTTCCTCTTAAGCAAGTGTACACAGGAGCCAGTTCAAAGGGAGCTGCGGCCCGGCCCGTAGGCTTCGCCTATCTAAAACGCACATAATCACAGGCCATGCAGATCTTTTCCAGGAGGAAGTTAAAGAACTTGCTTTCTGGTGATTTACAAGCACATCCATTGTGTAACCAAGGTCAGTGTAAATAAAGGACATCAAGCCAGCTCTTCCCTTGGAGAATGGGGCTTACCAACAGTATCTGAAGGACTTTGGCAACACAAGGCAGGCAGCTGAGACAGGAGGGGAAACAATATTTCAAAGTAAGCCACAATGTTGTGTTTCTTTCTGTTTTTTTGGTCTTTTCTTTGAGATAGGGTCTCAGTATGCAGTTCAGGCTGGCCTTGAGCTCATTTTGTAGCCTAGGCTGGTCTCGAACTCGCAATGATCCTCCTGCCTCAGCCTCCCGAGTGCTGGGATTACAGGTGTACGCCACCACGCCCAGCAATGTTGTATTTCTTAAACTGGGTCATAGGTAGTATTTTTATTTTTTAAATGTTCATTCTTACATGTAAGATATTTCATTAAATATCATAAAATTATTTTAGTATTCGGCATAGAGACTGCTATGGGGGGAGAAAGCAGGCTAACTTCAAAAAAAGAATACTTCGCTGAGCATGGTGGCACATGCCTGTAATCACTGCACTCAAGAGACTAAGGCAGAAGGATCACTGAGAGTTCCAGGCCAGCCTACACTACATAGTGAGACCCTGTCTTAAAAAAAAAAACAAAGTAAAACATTACTTTTCTAGGCAGGTGTGATGTCCCACTCCTATGGTCCCAGCTACTGCTCAGGAAGCTGACGCAGGATGCTCTGAGCTAAGCATTCAGGGCCACTCTGGGAAACATAGCAAGGCCCGGTCTCAAAAAAATTTTTCAATCCACACAAATTTTGTTAATGAAACCTTCTTATTTAGCCCACAGCTGATACGAACATTAAGAGATGATTAGACATGACTGTTGAATATAACTTACAACTTTATGAAGATTTTTTAACTCAAACTCTATCAGATTGGTTTTTGGGAGTAAAAGTCACATACCAGGAAGTTCACTTTATTTACTTATTTACAGTATTTGTGGTACTGAGGATCAAACCCAGGGATGGTCTACCACAGTGGTATCCTCAGTGCTTTATTTTTTTGAGACAGGCTCTCACTATCACCAATCTACTTTCTGTCTCCATGTACTTCCTGGTGCTGGACATTTCATATAAAAATAGAATCATACAACATGTGGCTTTTGTGTCTGGTTTCTACCACTTTGTAAAATGTTTTTTAAGGTTCATTCATGTTGATCTATCAATACTTCATTCCTTTCTAGGGCTGAATAATATTCCATCATATGGATACATCACACCTTATCCATTATCTAATGGATGTTGTGTCACTTCCACTTTCAGTCTACTACGAATAATATTCTATGAACATTCATGTGTAAGATTCAGTGTACACATTCTTATTTTTTTTTTGAGACAGGGTCTTGCTAAGTAGTTGAGGCTGGCCTTGAACTCACAATCCTCCTGCCTCAGCCTCCCAAGTGTTGGGATTACAGGTGTGTACTACCATACCTGGCCTAAAAATCTTAGTTATAATAACTGTAAAAAGCACAAGTGCCTGCCTAGCAAGTGCAAGGTCCTGAGTTCGATTCCCAGTACCAAAAAAAAAAAAAAAAAAAAAGAGGGCTAACAGGTAGGTGACACACACCTGTAATCCCAGCTACTTGGGAGGGTGAAGCAGGAAGACAGCAACTTCAAGGCCAGCCTGGGCAACTTGGCAAGACCCTGTCTCAAAATAAAATTAAAAATACAGAGCTAGAGTTGTAGCTCAGTGATAGACGGCTTGCCTAGCATGTACAAAGTGGGATTTAACCCCCAGTACCACAAAGGAGAAAAAAGGGGACAGGACAACCAATAAGACAGAAAGAAAATAAATAAAAGGGGCTTTCAAATTCCCTTCATTAGATTTAGGCTGCTACATTCTCGCTCTAAAATGCTAACTACATAGCAGCAGAGAGAAAACACTCTTGAAAGCCAGGCACCCTACTTTTCAAACTACAGATAATATCCTGTGCCTAGTGTTTAAATAAACTGATCAAGGGGCTGGGGATTTAGCGCAGTGGCACAGAGCCTGTCGGCAAGCGCAAGGTCGTGAGTTCGATCCCTGGTACCGGAAAAAAAACAAAAAACAAACAAAAAAAATAAACTGATCAAATAAATATTTAGTCTTCACATAAGTTTTGGTCAGACTACGTTAAACACACAAACAAGGCAAGTCAGATGCCACTTCTGTCGTGTTGGTCCCAAACTTTTCAAGAAAGCTAATTCTTGATGAATTATAATAACTAAGCTCCCCACTCTGCTGCTACTGCCTCCTGCATATACCTGCAGCACACATGCAAGCCAACCTCACCCAGGACCACAGGTCCACAGTCCCCTGCGCCACAGGAAGCAGGACAAGCAGAGCAGTGTGCAAAGGTCAGCACGAGCAACTCTTACCTAAGGTCTTCTCTTTGTTCCTGCTGCAGTCCGAGTCCTGCTGGCCATCGGGGGGCTCAGTCCGAGCCTCCCGCCCAGGAATTGCCTCTCTTGCCTCCTTCGAGCGGTACGCTGGGCTCACCAAATTCCTGTTCTTGGTGATAAAGTCACTACCTTCATCCTCTTCCAATGAATGCTTGGTACTTGTGCCACCACAACTGGAGTCTTGGTGCTGCAGAATGTTGTCTGGCTGGGAGTTACACAGCATATCCGCTTTCATCCCTAGCCCACAAAGTCCGGCTTCTTCCAAGGTGCCCATCTCACACTAGAGGGGAGAGAAGGGGAGAAAAGAGAGAAGGGATTCAGTAGTAATCCCTAGTTAAACCAGCAGCACATCAGATCTCAATGGCTTTTTTCACTGTTTTTTGGTTTTGTTTTGTTTTTTTTAACTACACTTGTTCTTAGCCAAAAGGCCAAGAAGGGATTGTTTTTTATTTGAGACAGGATCTTACTATGTAGCCCAGGCTGGCCTGAACTTGCAGTGATCCTCCTGCCTCAGCCTCCCAGAATGCGCTGGGATTACAGGCATGTGCCACTACATCCGGCTAGCTTCTTTCTTTCTTAGGGCTTGTAAAGTCCACGTAAAGAATGGAAGTTTTTAAAGTTTCACAGCGATAAGGATATTAATTTCTGCTATTTTTCTTTTGCAGTGCTAGGGATTGAATGCAGAGCTCTGTACTTACTAGTCAAGTGCTCTAGCACTGAGAGACATCAAATTGAAAGGTTGGGGTGAAGCTCAGTGATGGGGCCTTGCACTGCACGCAAGACGCCCTGGGTTTGTGCCCCAGCACTGCAAGGAATAAAGTTTAAAAGTCACACAACTATGTAATAACACAAAGGGTCAGAAATGCCATCTAGTTGTAAATCTTAACTTATTTCCCTAAAAGAACCCACCACTGAGGACAATTAGCACCTTATCTTACCAAAATAATTAAAAGCATAATACCACAGTGATATATGCACACCCATGTCTATAGCAGCACAGTTTGTAATAGCCAAATCTTGGAAACAACCTAAATGCCCATCAAATGAGGAATAGATAAAGAAAATGTGTTTTTTTTTTTATACAATGGAGAACTACTTTGCCTTAAAGAAGGGCAAGCTTAGGACATTTTTAGGTAAATGGATGCACCTTAAGACCACAGTCTTAAAAAAAAAAAAAACAACAGTCTTAAGTGAAATAAATCAGACACACATATGTAAATACCACACTGTTTCTCTGGTGTGAAAAATCAAAAGTGTAAGTAAGGACCAAAATGTATAATAGGTACTGTGAAATAGAAAGAAAATGTTTAAATGGGGAAAAGGGAACCAGGGAGGGGAAAGAGAGAAAGGAAGAAAGGGAAAAGTAAAAAAAATAAGAAACAAAAAGTAGAAACATTTATAAATGGGGAAGGGAAGAGGAGTTCAAGGGAGGGTAGGGGAATGAGGGGTTAAAAGAAGAAACAAGTTATGAACTGGGCATAGTGGCACACACCTGCAATCCCAGCACCTGGGAGGCTGAGGCAGGAGGATCACTCCAAGTTTAAGGCCAGCCTGGTCTACATAGACTCCAGGCCAGCCTGAACTACGTAGGGAGACCCTATCTCCAAAAAAAAAAAAAAAAAAGTAATATCGTGTACAGGTAAAAATTCTCTGTAATGAATATGATCATTATATATACCTAAAATGTACCAGTAAAATCTAATTTTAAAAAAGTAGAGATTGGGTTACAACTTTAAAAATAAAACTCAGCACCTTAGTAGAAGCTAAAGGTCCCAGGTTAATGAACATTAACTGCCATGAAGGAGAAGGCACAGGAGACGCTAGTCCTGCAGGGCAAAATGTCCCTAGCACTGCAGGACAAATGTCCAGCCCAGGTCTGCTTCCCAGCCTCTCCCAGGGCACCAGGACTCACTCAAAGTCCTTACCAGTGGAATGTGCACAGAGGCATGACTGTTACTTCTGCCACCAGACTTCTACTCTCAGAAACATGCAATTCTTGCTAAGTGTGGTGGCACACCACTGTAATCCCAGCATCTGGGAGACTGAGGCAGGAGGATCGAAAGTTTGAGCCCAGACTGAGTACCTCAGTGTGAAGGCTAGAGTTCAGTCCCCAGTACCACAGCAAATAAATAAAATGAATTAATGAGCTAATGAAATAAAAAGGTTCAAAAAAAAAAAAAAAAAAAGGGTTACTGCTGGCTGTAGCATCCACTCCCACGCCGTGCAAGCCACTAGCTGGGGCTAGAAGGCAAACCAGCACTAAGACTTTTTTCACAGCAAGCCACAGAAACTGTGATTGCAAGCAGCTGTCCCTGCCCTAAGTAATACAGATAGTATGCCTGGGAAAGATAGCTTCATTTCAGTGGGTTTCTTTTTCTTGAATCAGTAATTTTACTTTGCCAGGCGTGGAGGTGCATGCAGCACTCGGGGAGGCTGAGGCAGGAGGATCGTTGCAAGTTCGAGACCAGCCTGGGCTACAAAATGAGCTCAAGG